ATTCGTGCATTGTGAATTTCCAAGAAAAGTGCATGATGAAAATGGTTTTGACTACATATCTCGATGGGGCCCCCAAGTTTTGACATTATATCTAACTCATCTTCCTGTATCAAACGTTTTTTATTTAAATCATTTAATACATTTTTTAAGTTGGCAATTTTATTCACTTTTCGAGAAAGTTGTCGTCTTAGCAATTTTAACGTTTGCTTTCTTTTTGCACTTGTTGCCCGGACTATTTAGAGAAGAAGTAGAGGATACAGGTAATTCGATCTGACTGGTTTGATTTGCTGGTTTAATAGGAATACTTGATAGGATCCTGATTTTTGGAGGAGGAGGTGTAGGTATGGATGGATTAGTCTGGAACAAGATTTGGTATGCTATAAAGCCTTAAATATAGATCCATGATACAAAAACTACTAGTTTAAGTTCCAAAACTACTCATTTTTAAATATCATTAACGTCGTAATATGTTTTAAATTATATTTGTTGTGTATTGTGAACAAAGTCGGCAGGTTTTTAAATTAAGGAACATCAATTTAATGTTTGTTCATTTAATATTAATAATTGTAATGTGGTACATGAGCGGGCATATTATTTTATATCATGAGGATGAGGAGGTACATAGCAGTGAGTGATGGCCACAAATTTAATTAAATAATAAAAATACATCACCAGTATTTATTATTATACAGTATATTCATTATCAAAACGGTATAATAATAGGAAATTAGGATCTAATAAAAACTGCTTTTAAATGTTACTTAGGGCGGGTTGTATCGCAGATGGTTACCCACTGATTATCGCTAACCATTGGTTATCCGGCGATAGGCCGTTGTATGCAACCGAAACAGTAGTTTACCGATTGGTTTTCTAACTAGTCGATTTCGGCTGGTTAACCTTCGAGTGAATGACAGAACTGTCAAGATTATTATGTTCTGTACGATTTTTATAAAATATTGACCCAGAACACTTACACTGACACTTTTAAATTACGTGGTGTAAGGTGTAATTGTCATTCATCGTGGTACCATCTTATTTGAGAAAAACTTGTATTTATTCGTATATTGATAATTTATCTGATGGATATACAAGGAGATAATTTAGATAATTTACGTGATTTGGAATTAACTGATGATGAGGACTTTTTAGAGTTACTTGAACTAGAACTATTTTCAAGAGCTCCCAGGAATTTTCGAATGAGAGAAAATCAATTTTTAAAGTGGAATAACGAGGAGTTTATTGCTCGTTTTAGACTATCAAAGAAAACAGTTCAGATGATCGTTAATGAAATAAGACACAGAATTTCCTATACCCAAAACGAGTGAGTAAATAAATGAAAATAACAATAACAGGACTTATAATTTAATTTCGATTTTTTTTATAGAACTACTGCATTGAGTGCTGAGGAGAGAATGCTAATCACATTAAGATATTTAGCTACAGGTTCGATTCTGCAAGTTGTGGGTGATTTGGCAGGAATTGACAAATCAACAGCAAGTCGTATGATTCATAAGGTTTTGTTAGGCATATCAAGTTTACATAGAGAGTTCATTCGAATGCCTGAAAGTCGGATTGAAATAGAAAAAGTTCAAGAACAATTTTTTGAGATCAGTAGATTCCCTCTGTGCATTGGAGCCCTAGATTGTACACATATTAGGATACAGTCTCCTGGAGGGAACAATGCAGAAATTTATAGAAACCGTAAAAGTTACTTTTCTTTTAATGTCCAAGCCGTTTGTAGACCTGATCTTGTTATTCAAGACATTGTATGTCGTTGGCCAGGGTCAGCTCACGATTCAACCATATTCAACAACTGCAGATTAAGAAATAGATTTGAAAATAAAGACTTTGACAATTTTGTTCTAGTTGCAGATAGCGGATATGGTGTACGAAACTATTTAATTCCTCCTTCGATAAACCCTCTAGGAGCAGCAGAACAACTTTTTAATCAAAGTCAAATTCGGACCAGAAATCCAATAGAAAGATGTTTCGGGGTTTTAAAACGAAGATTTCCTGTTTTAGCAATAGGTATTCGTCTTGACATTAACAAAATAGAGGAAATTGTAGTTGCTTGCACAATATTGCATAATATAGCATGTGAGAGAGGTGATCCGGAACCTCCCGTTGACCCAGCAGTTGAGGTTGAAATTCAGGAGGCAAATAACATGAATTTGGAAGTTATACCAGATGTACCTAGGTTCAATATTAATAATGCAGCTAGGTATAATCTAATTAACCAATATTTCCAAGCACTGTAAGATATTTTTGTGCATCTTAATTTGAAAATAAATAATGTATATATTTAAATTTATTTTATTTATAAAAACTAGCAATATTTTATTATAATTAATTTAGTAACTTTTCTTTTTCTAATTTTAAAATGCTCATTTTTACTTCATGCCCTTCCTTTGCAAAGAGCATTGCTTGTTTGTGCTTTTCTTTATTATGCTCCATTTCCTGTCTGTGTTTATCTTCAATATGGGCTAACTTCTGCCTATGTTGTTCCAGCAGGACCTGCTGCTGAACAGAAACAGAATCTTGCTTCGCCTTCGCCCAGTTGCCTAATTTGGTCTTCAAAAACTTGTCTGCAATGTAAAATTTACAGAATTTATTTTTATTTAATAAATATGTACACTACCTCTTTTTCTTGTACCACTGCTATCTTTGACATCAAGCTGTTTGGATACTGGGGTTCTTAGTGTGTTGATAGATAACTTTGTCCAATCACCTATGGAACTTTATTCCTGATGAGCAGTGTCTGAAGTATAGTCAGTTTCTTCTTCTTCTTCTTCTTCTTCTTCTTCTTCTTCTTCTTCTTCTTCTTCTTCTTCTTCTTCTTCTTCTTCTTCTTCTTCTTCTTCTTCTTCTTCTTCTTCTTCTTCTTCTTCTTCTTCTTCTTCTTCTTCTTCTTCTTCTTCTTCTTCTTCTTCTTCTTCTTCTTCTTCTTCTTCTTCTTCTTCTTCTTCTTCTTCTTCTTCTTCTTCTTCTTCTTCTTCTTCTTCTTCTTCTTCTTCTTCTTCTTCTTCTTCTTCTTCTTCTTCTTCTTCTTCTTCTTTATTTTCTACCGTTTCTATCTCACTGGCATCATCTTCAACTATTAAAGTTATTTTTTCATTCAAAGGATCTAAAAAAAAATTAATTTCAAAAATATTTAGTAAACAAGTTTTCAAATTTATATATAATTTTAAGAAGCTATAAGAATCGACACATCCAGATACACAATTTGCAGCTACATAATATCCAATAGTTTTTAGACTTTTAGTAAATTTTTTTTTTTTTTTCATTTTATCAAATCTACAGCTCCTCACATTTTATATTTCACTATTGATGTAACATACATCTGTGGTTCAATGAAGATTTCTAAGTTTTTAATTACCTGTTGCATCACTATCAAATTTTGATAAAAATCCTGACATTTGAGCTCCAATTATTTCGTGGATCTCAGTCTCAATGGGAGAATCTATTATATTAATAGGTGGATCACCACCTGTGGCATAAACATACTTTTTTTTTTTCAGCATAAGTTTTCTTTGCGTTTTTCTTTAAATTTAGATATTTGCTTTTAAGTGCATCAGTGGACCGAAACGTTTCCCCAGAGTGACTGTTAAACTCTTTCGTTAACTGGTGCCATATCAGGTTTTTTTTTTTATTCATTTCACTATCAGTTTTTTTATTTTCAATTACACTGGCATATTTTTTTATTAGTGAAATTAACTGTCTCTCCTCTTTACCAGAAAAGTTTGTTTCCCTCCTTTTCTTTAACCCTAAAATAATAAAAAAAATTATTTACAGAAGTAAATGGTACTAGATACCTACTTACCTATAATTTCAGCCATTGTTATAAATTATAAACAATAATAATTAATAATCTAAAACAATTTTAAAATTAAACAAATGTAATTATTCGAAAAAACAAAATTAAAATAAATCTTGAATCACGCTCGAATGTCAAAATGATGCCAATTTACAACGCGAATTCACCACGAACCTAGAAATCAGTTCTACCAATACTACAGAAATTATGAGTTACGTCAGTTACGTGACTAGAGCCTAACAATCTGCGCGACAACCGAACGGTTGGTTAAGTATTAACCACTTGTTTGGTAATCAGTTAGTTAACCATCTGCGATACAACCCGCCCTTAAAATGTTACTTAAAAAGTTAGTCATTTAAGTGTAATTATGAGCTGGTTTTTAAGTTTATTTATAAGTTGGTTTTTAAGTTTAATATTATAGTTGGTTTTTAAGTTTAATTATAGTTGGTTTTTAAGTTTAATTATAAAGTTAGTTATTTAAGTTTTAATATAGTTGTCTAAGTTTTAATATAGTTATTTGTCTTTATTATAAAGTTAGTCAAGCCAATGTTCTTTATTAAGTTAGTTATTTAAGTTTTATTGTAAATAAAGTGTATACTAACTAAACATTCATTTATTGTCGGAACAGCATTCTTCTTCAATCTGACCCTAAACTCACACTTATCAAAAAATTCTTCCTTGAAGTGAATAGAGCACAACATGCTATTCGGTTTAGGCTCAAATTGGTCTTTTCCCCACAAATTTAGACCAAATTCTGAGTACACTCCTTATACTTACTTATAAAAACTTAAATTAGATATTTTCTTACGCTCTTTCACTGAAGAGTTTTTACAATTAATTTTGGCACACTTAGTCATGATTTTTAAACAAATTAATAAAAAAAAAACACTTATTAAGATATATAAGAAATAACGTCGAAATATTTAAATTTGAACAAAGTTCTGACAGCTCTTTGACAACTATGACATAACCACTAAGAGAGGGGGAAGGGGTGTCGTTTTTTTTTTGAATATCATCTCTATAGTATTCAACTTCATTGGTTAACATTGAAACCAATCACATTTCCTATCTACGTAGCAAATACCTATCGTGACACATCCATTATTGTACGGCTATTAAATAATATAATAAAATATTTGTCAAATTGACGTTTGTGATAGTGACACTAAACAAAAAGAAATATTTGGTAAATTGATTATTAAACGTAGAAGATTCACAGTTATAGAAACTAGAAAAAAGAAAATTTTTGAAAAGTGATATACTTTTATTGACAAATATTCATCAGTGCAATTTATTCGTATCAAATAACATAAGTTTTATTATAAATAAAAATTAACATCAAATATTTATAAATAATCGCTTGTCGATGGACTAAGTTCGAATATTTCTTTCCATACTTTCATTCTTTCCGATTCAGGATCAGTATGCAAAGTAAGCTCCTCGCCAATATCCAAGAAGTGAACTGTCTTTGTATCTACAGGTTTTCCATTCAATGTTTAAGTCATTTCCTTTTGGCGTTGGATTACCGGTTCTTGCAAAATTTGTCCATAATTTCACGAATCGTCTAATGGCCCTTCGTTCGATTACGCCCCTGTAAAGTAATGGAGCTGCCTGCTCAGAACTAAACAGGTAACCTAGGTCGTCAGCATGAGCTACACCTAAAAAATTAAATCACGGGAATTAGAAATCTAATATTACAATATTGTAGTTTTAGAAATATACAATTATTTTAAAATTAATCAAGTTGGTTTAAAAAGATGAAGAATACTATAAGAGCACTCATCATTTACTGTCTGATGTACTAGATGAGAGAAAGGGAAAGAGTAATACATAATAGATATTTACTGCGAGACATACAGCTATTAGTTAAGAGAATTTAAGCCACTGCCAATCATTATTATTTGGAGTGAATGGTAAATAGCGTTAGCATGTGTTGAAGTGGTTAGAATGTGGTAATGTGGGATCCAAGCTACGCTACTGATTATTCAAGTTGATGACAGTAAAGTTTTGAAAACAAGACTTATCCCCTTTTGCCTTCTAGCCACAGAATTATTGACAGAAAGAAAAATATGAAAAGACGAAGATGTATATGAATATTTCCTTAAAGTGAAGGAATTATCAAATCGAGGGGATATTGAGACAGAAACACTCATGCAATATGTTGGATGGTATCCAAGATGACGATGGAAACAAAATTATTTTAAACAAATAGAAAATATGAAGAAAAATTAAAGGTCTATTCGGACATGAAAGCTAGCACTTCAAAGAGGGCTGATTGCACTATACTTTAAAACCAAGGAAGTCAACAGTCAAATATACAAGAAAGAAGAGACACCGTTACCAGACAAGGAAATAAACAAAGTGTTAAATCGACTAATAGATGTTTTAACTGTGGTGTAATAGGACACAAATCAGAAAGTTGCCATAAGAAAAAGCTTGGAATGAAATGCTTCAGATGTAAAAATTTTGGTTAAAAATCTTACGAATGCCAACTAGGAAAAAACTGAGCAAAGACGAGAATCTCCAAAGGAACCGACTATTGTTAATAGAATTTTGCTGCTGATTCAAACAGAAAATTTAAAAAGATTAAAATATATGATACAGAAATGTATGCATTGTTTGATACAGGAAGTGGTGTGAACCACAGTTGAAGTTTATAAAAATAATAGGTTCACCTGAACTTAGACATGCAAACATATCATTAAATGACTTTGGAAAAACCACATACTTTGATTTTATTTTACTATGCGGAGAATGGTCGCACTGCGCAGCTTTCTGAGCCGAGAATACCGATCATGGAGAAACGACAGCTTGGTGTTTTCAGTGTACCGTTTTGATACGCGCATGTGCGAAACTAAGTTGTGTATCACTCAAAATCATATAATCTGTCAAAGTCAGTCCAAGTTGTGTTTAGTCTGTGAGCTGTTGAGTGATATATTTTTGGGTGTTTCTTTATGTTGTAATAGAATGTCTGGATCTGGATATTTTTGTGCATACCGTTCTTGTTCGTCCAAAACAGGCCAAGGATTAAGTTTATTTACTTTTCCAAAGGACTACGAACAGTAAATATGACTATTAATTGCTATTAACCCTAACTACTTCAATGTAATTAAATCGCATTACAACATTTGCGCATGGACTATAGCAATGATTTCAGATAATTTGCCAAACTATTTCGCTCAGTGTAGAAAATAAGCATGTTTTCTCAGCGTGCTAAGTTGTGTATCAATCAAAGTCATGCTGTGAAAAAGGTCCATCCGATATCAAAGGCACCGACAGCTACTGTCGCTTCTCCTTTGATAGGTATTCTCGGTTTCTGAGTGCCTCTTAAAAGGATATAGAAAACTCCACCATTTTGAACCCTTATTACGTGTTACCTACATCTTGGCGCAATATTTTTAATAGGTGCGTTTTAATCATCCGCTTCTGCTTCGAAATTGTCGGTATTCTTGTTTTAATCTGACAGGTTAAAACGACTAAACCGGACAATTCCGGAAGCAGAAGCGGATGATTAAAACGCACCTGATATTTTGCTTGCTGCTGTCAGTGTCAGTGAATATTATTTTTAAAGTCACAGTTTATTGCTAAAGAATCAGTTAGCTCACTCAAACCAGTTGAAAGTTCCAAAAATAACATCAACTCCAGGGATACAAATTCAGGATACGCAGAAGACTGCTGTTTTATTATAGACGGTTGTCATATATTGTATTATCCGAGTTGTACAGTGTATAAACTGAAACATTGAGATCAAAAGTGCCGACGCAGAGTGAGCGATTTGATTCTTTAGCTATATACTGTATCATAGGAATCAAAATGGCCGCGCCCTATGTTGGGCGTGTCAGACCTCTCTCTTGCCCCGTATAGTAATCAAAGTATGTGGGAAAAACAAATACACTTGAATTTGTTTATTGTTATATCACATGATAAAGAACGATACAGAAAAGAAACATTGGGCTAAAAACGGGAACCTAGCAACCGAAGCCACACCTTCTTTATGGTGGAGCATTGTCAAAACTGAATCGTAGATTTGTTACTTGTTCGAAGTGTAACAGTGCACACTTTTGTTGCAGATGAACGAAGCTGTCACTGCTGTCGCTGTCAATATTTTTTTGCCTGTTGTCTCTTGATCTTTGGTTGGTTTTAGCGAATATTCTAATAACTTTCACGTTTTGTTAGTGGTTTATCTTTAGTTTTTGTCGCTGTTTTTAATTATTGTACGTATTAAGATTAGGTTTATAAACAATGCCGCGTTAAAGAGGAGGAGGGTATACTTGTATTTATCGTGGATGTACCTCAAGAACAGGTGACAAGGAGGGATTGTTCACTCTTGTGAAAGATCCAGTGAGGTATGTATGAAACATTGGGTCTGAAATAAGAATTGACCTTTCCATAACATTGTAGTACAATGACTGTATGTATTTTGCAGACTTGAATTGTGGCTTCAGGCAGCAAATAAAAAGAACTTATTGGGAAAGAGTGTTGAATACTTAAGTAAACATTAGAAAATTTGTGAACTACACTTCCAGGATAAATTCGTTTTATCAGTCAGGAGCAAGAAAACGATTATTTGCAAATGCATTCCCATCAGTATTTCCTCACTCAGAACCTATTAAAAGAGTCACAGTTCTGCAAGGTAAATAAATAAAATTAATAGCTAAATGTTACAAAAAGTTTGCTACTCCTCTCGCTTGTTATTTTTTTACATTACATTTAGTATTTTAAAAAATAAAATGATAAGTACTAATAATCTTAGAATATCAACCCATACATTTCATTTTATAAAACTGCCTCGGAGGTAAACTATACTATGTCGACATACAACAACTTATGCAAATTAAAATAAAGTACTTTTATCAGTTAGTAAAAAATACAAATATTGTGACAATAAATGGGGTGTTTAAATGCATATCTAGTTGAAATTTAATAATTTAACAACATTCAATCTGCTGTAATAAACAGTTGACTAGAATGACATAGTGCAGTTTACCTCCTAGGCACAGAAATATATTCACATTTTATGAAATTATTTCAAATTTCATCTGTCTAAAAAGTGTGACTTAAACATTTAATTCTGACAAATGATGCACCTTCTTAAAACTAGTTGATCTGATAAAAATTTGTTTTTCTTTCTTTTTTTAGAAGAATTTGTTGTTTATGGCGAAAAAGGAAAGACAACTTGTGCCTATCCTCAACTTCAGCAGAAGTAGAATCTATTGAACAAGTTCATAGTCAACCATCTGTTCCTCTACCTTGTGCAACAGCACAAATTCAAACGAGTAGTATATTATCATCAAACACTCTAAGAAAGCAGAGACTGCGACTGAAGATAGCAACGTTAAGGAAACGTTTGTTTGTTGCAAAAAAAGAAGAAAAATCGAGCCTCCGTTTATACATTGAAAGAGTTTCATGCTATGTGCAAGCAATTTTTAAAAAAATCCTTTGCAGATATTGTAATTTCGCATAGCTTATTACATAGTTGTATATTAGGATGTAGCTATTTTAATAAAGCTACTTATCTATGTATTATAAATTAGGCTTGCTCTATTAATGTGTGTAAACAATTTTAATTATTTTAATTTTCATACACTTAAAACGATTTTGTTATGTCATAGGTGTGTGATCCTTTTTTTAGACAATATAAGTCTAATTAAACATGTACGTAATTTTAGTACATAGCTTCTCAACTGTTTTTTTTACCGTTTTTTATAATATATTTATGTACTATTATCGGGTATATATTTGCTTCACTATTGTTTTTTATTTCATTTTTAGTTTTATTGGTATTATAAATTATTATTAATAATAAGTATCCTTATTGCATATGTAATAAAAAAGTATCCTAAAATATGTCCATTCAAAAATTCTATTTTAATAAAATACATGCATAGATTGTAAACTTATCAATTTGTTTCTATTTATAAAATCCCTAAAATACGCTTTAGCTAATTTTTTAACAATTATCCTAATTGATTTATACTTACGGATCATAAATGACTAGTAAGATTTGTGGCACAATATTAATAGTTCGTTATGACAGGGTAAAATAAACTGAAAAATTGAAAAATATTTTACTTAAATCAAGAATAGTTTAAAATTCATTCATGCAAATTTTCATAAAATATGACACATAATTCTGGAAAAGAGAAATGTAGTTTTCGCAGTGTAGGTTCAGTGAATAGCTACGTTAGCATGTACTGCACATACTTTGATTACTATACGAGGCAAGAGAGAGGTCCGACACGCCCAACATAGGGCGCGGCCATTTTGAACCCTGTGACACAGTTTACAGCTAAAGAATCAGGTCGCTCACTCTGCGTCGGCACTTTGGATCTCAATGTTTTAGTTTATACACTGTGCAACTCGAATAATACAATATAAGACAACCGCCTATAATAAAACAGCAGTCTTCTGCGTATCCTGAATTTGTATCCCTGGAGTGGATGTTATTTTGGAACTTTTAACTGGCCCGAGTGAGCCAACTGATTCTTAAGCAATAAACTGTGACTCCAAAAATAATATTCACTAACACTGACAGCAGCAAGCAAAATATCAGGTGCGTTTTAATCATCCACTCCTGCTTCCGGAATTGTCAGTTTAGTCGTTTTAAACTGTCAGATTAAAACAAGAAAAACGGACAATTCCGAAGCAGAAGCGGATGATTAAAACGCACCTATTAAAACTATTGCGCCAAGATGTAGGCAACACGTAATAAGGGTTCAAAATGGCAGAGTTTTCTATCTCCTTTTAAAAGGCACTCAGAAAGCTGCGCAGTGCGACCATTCTCCGTATAGTAAAAGAAAATCAAAGTATGTGGTGTACTGTGAATAGTTACGTTTTCTAAGAGTATCTCTGTGGTGGAACTTAAGGTCAAATATTTCTATCCCTTCAACTTCAAAGTTCCGACCATTACTTTCTTTTCTGTATTGTTCTTTCTTCTGTGGTTATATGCTGATTGATGACAATTGGTATCAAACAAAAGTTTATGTTGTACCTGATAACATAATGCTGTCTGAATTTATCATCGGAAGCGAACTTCTGGATTAGACCAAGTTAATTATAGACTCAAATGGAATAAAAATTATTAAATTAACTGAAAACACCGAGAGCGACGATATTGAAATCATGCATATAAATTTAGCCGATGTACCTGAGCTAGATATTGAAGATGTTAGAAAAGTATTAAAAAAAGAAATCAAAGAAATGATAATGATGTATAAACCAAATAAAATTAAATTGACCAATGTAGAGATGAAAACTATAATGAAAGATGAACAACCACCAAGACGATTACCTTTTTCCGAAAGAGACATTGTAGATAAACAAGTTAAGCAATGGCTTGACGAAGGAATAATAGAGCCAAGTTGTTCTGACTACTCAAGCCCAGTGGTTGTAACTAAGAAAAAAGATGGTTTAGCGCGCGTTTGTATAGAATACAAAAGAATAATTAAGAATGTAGTAAAAGATAGATTCCCTCTGCCTCTTATAGAAGACCAACTTGACAGACTACAAGATGCTAGAATTTTTACGACAATGGACTTGAAAAAGAGTTTCTTCATGTATCTGTAGAAGAATCAAGTCGAATATATACCATTTTTGTTACAAATAATGGTCATTATCAATTCCTTAAAGTCCAATTTGGATTCTGTAATTTTCCAGCTATTTTTCAGAGATTCATTAACTATATTTTTAAAGAATTATCATTGCCTTATCTGGGTGATTTATTTATACCAGCAAATGACGAACAAGAAGCAATAAGGAGATTAGCAATCGTTCTCTAAACAGCACAAGACTATGGTTTGAAAATTAATAAAACAAAGTGCCAATTTGGCAAAACAAATGTAGAATTTCTTGGTCACAGAATAGAAGACGGTCAAATATTTCCATCAGAACTAAAGACTTAAGCTGTACTTAATTATACTTAACCAGTGGGTATTTCAGAAAATGTATACCTTTTTATTCAGTTATTGCAAAACCATTAAGTGATTCATTGAAAAACGACAAAAAATTCTAATTTAAATGAAGAAAAGAGAAACATTTAACCAGTTAAAAAAATATTCTATCAGAAAAACCAATGTTAAACATATATAAACAAGGAGCTGAAACAGAGATACATACAGACGCATCTCAAGAGGAAGGTGGTGCTATTTTATTACAAAGATCTTATGAAGATAATTTATTACACCCTGTTTATTACGTAAACAAAAAGACTACAGAGGTAGAAAGAAAATACACAAGTTATGAACTTAAAGTCTTGGCAGTGGTGGAAACATTAAAAAGGTTAAGAGTTATATTTGCTGGGTTTAAAATTCAAAGTTGTCACCGACTGTTCTACTTTTTAAATAACTATGGATAAAAAAGACTTGAATACAAGAATTGCAAGATGGGCTTTACTTATACCTGAATTTAATTTTACCATTGAATATCGATCTGGAACAAAGATGAAGCATGTTGATGCATTAAGCAGATTTCCTATAATGAACATAGAAAATGATACTAAAAGTACTTTTAGACGGTCATATCAGTTCTCAATTCAGTTTCAGTTATGTCAGTTCAGTTGTGACTTCATTTGAGGAAATGCTGTCTTTTCAGACGATCAGTTTAAGTTTTCATTTCCGTGCAGATCAGTAATGGATGAAGATTCCTTATTTGCCGTCGCTTTGTGCTTAATACTAAAGAAACCACGAAAGAAATGAAGCAAAAATTGGCTCCTAAAAAGAAAATCATTCTCATGTAAAATAATGAAGGAACTTTATTTTGAACCTTGTGATTGGTCAAACTACTTACGAATGAGCGAGGATGCAAATCGTAAATTGCTGTACTTAGTGTCCCCAATTATAAAAAAGCGCAACACCAACATGAGAGAAGCTATATCACCACACGAAAGGTTACGTGCAACGCTTAGATTTTTTGCAACTAGGAGTATTTTTTAAAGTCTTAGATTTTCTACTGTAATATCAGTTGTTTGTAGTTTTTTACTAAAACATTCATCTTCTTTTTATGAGTGTTATGGTAAAGATGATCCTTTTTATTCCATTAGCAAATCTTCCGTAAATAATGAGACGTAAACGGACCAATTTGTTTACCCATCATTTTAACAGACAACTGAACGGCAAATCCATCGAGCCACAGCTCCGTGTCAGTTTTAGTTTTTCTGTCTTTACACATACATATGAGTGACAACTGAACCGAAACTAAAACTGAACTGAGAACTGATATGACCGTCTAAAAGGACTTAAAGATTTAAGAAAGTACAAAACGGAGATGAAACTATAAGGACTATCAAAGAGATAGTTATGGAAAAGAAGCGATATACTCTATAAAGTTGTCAATGAAAATAAAGTATTGGTTGTACCTACATTGTACCAAAGATGATGCAAACTGAAATAATAATAATGAAATAATAATAAACGAGATTTGTTTATTCCTAAATTATAAGAAAAGTATTTCGAATTGTGTACTATCAAACAGAAAGCATGGGAAGCAAGAATGCTTACTACATCGGCTTACTAAAGAAAATGTACCGCTAAATACCTATCATATTGACCATTTAGGCCCACTGGAATCAACGAACAAAAATTAATAATATATTTTTGTCGTTTTCGAGAGTTTTACCAAATTTGTGTGGTTGTACTCAACTAGGTCGACAACAGCAAACGACGTAATAACAAACTTACAATTACAAAGAAAACATTTTGACAATCGAGCAAATATAATTTCATACCGAAGAAGTACATTTACGTCTCACGAATTTCAAAATTATTGTTCAGAAAACAAAATTAAACATTTTCTAGTAATTGCAGGTTTACCGCGTGCAAATAGGTAAGTAAAAAAAATTAATTCTATAATAATTCTAGTTTTGACGAAATTATCCCTTAAAGAACCAACTAAGTGGTACAAATATGTAGATACGATGCAACGAATTCTAAATTCAACGTTTCAAAGAAGTAATAACAGCACTCCACGTGAGCTTCTCACTGGCGTAAAAATGAGGGAAGCTACAGAATTAAGAATTAAAGAAATTATAGAAGAAGAAATGATAAACGATTTCCAAGAGAGACGTACCAAGCTACGACAACAAGCAAAGAAACAAATCGCCAAAGTTCAAGAAGAGAATAAGAAAACGTACAATTTAAGAAGAAGAAAACCTCAAAGATACAATATTGGAGATATAGTCGTTATAAAGAGAACTCAACTTGGACCTGGATTAAAGCTACCTACGGCCAAAGTTCTTCAGACCATATCGAGTAACACGAGTAAAAGGTAATGATACTTATGACATAGTTAAAAATTGAAATTCACGAAGGTCCTGTTAATGCAACTACTTGTGCTGTTTATATGAATGATTCTAGTCTATCCGAGTCGGATGACTATCAGGACAGCCAAGATGTGGGATCCAAGCTACGCTACTGATTATTCAAGTTGATGACAGCCGAAGAAATGATGATATGATTATTCTTAAATGTAATTAAGACGTTATTTTTGTATTTGTAATTTCATAATAAAAATTATTATTAAAGACGTTTAGACTTTGTATCAAGCCACACCAGTGAATTTCCAACAGTAACGACTTTACCAGTTACAAGTAGGTAACGAGCTACCAGAATATTATTGTGGCTATTGAAACGTTTACCTAATCTTTATTTAAAAACCTTGTAAGATGTTACCTTTTTCTTCAATTTTGCCGATTTTTTTAAACATATTGCAACCTGCATCCAATGACATCCTATATAAATATACTGGTTCCGAAGAAGTTTTAGCGTGTAGTTTTGCTGCACCAATTATTCCAGCAATAAAGTTATAGTCACTGGGTAGCTAAAAACGTAAAATTTTATCATAAACATGAGGCACCAGGTAAGAAGACATGATATTTATTTGTTTTAAAAGTAACAGCTAACATAATGTAACAAACCTATCAAAACTAATCTACTTTTAAAAAAATGTATGGATGACTTTATACAATACAACACCTTCATAAATAAGAGTAACGAATCATACATATTTTTGTAATATTTATTACACAGTATTTTTTATTAGACCATTAAATAACGATATTTAACTGAAAATGGCATTTCTTTTTAATTTCACTTACCAAAAATTTGTCATCTACATTTGGCGGCTGCAAATAGAGTTCCGTTAATTTTTTCTTAATAATCAATCTCTTTGGATCGTCTTCTGCCAATTGCAAATCTGGATGTATAAAATTGTCTACATCGATTTGGCTATATTTAGCAGGAGGTTCTATACCTGCCTTGATCATTAACCTTTTATAAAATTCCACCAAAAGCCCTTCTCTGTCACAATAACCCATTAGTATCGGAACTTTGTTATACTGTCCAGACGCTATAAGTTCTGCTGGGTGCGAGGTAATAATTGCAGTTTCATTTGGTTTTTCTATAATCGGACCTATCGCTCCAGATCCTGCGTCAGTCTAAATGTATTTAAAAAAATATGAATATATAGTAACTATCTAATATTTAAAAGTAAAAAATAGGTCTTACTAGTAAGAATTTTTCTTGATGCCGATGCAGGACTTTGCAGCACAATCGTTGTAACCTGTCTAATGCCTGTGCCTCGGTCTCTGTATCTGCTTGAACCGATTTGGCGAATTTAAGACTAGAATCTTTACACAAATTCCATGGATTTAACACAGCTCCACTCTGCAAAATAGCCTTGTGAAATAATCCTTTCGAAGATGCTGAAACAAGTAGTTCGTGTGCACTCATACTTCCGGCACTTTCTCCGAAAATGGTAACGTTATTTGGATCTCCGTTGAAGTTTTTGATATTTTTCTGGACCCATTTTAAGGCTAGCTGTTGATCTTTAAGACCTGCATTTCCAGGTACATCTAAAGAAGTGTCTGTTAGATGTAAGAAACCCAAGAAACCAACACGATAGTTTGGTACCACCAAAACTATATCTTCGGTTAAAAGATATTCGGGACCGTACATTTGAGGTGAGTTTGAGCCTTGGCGAAAGGCCCCGCCGTATATCCAAACCATGACTGGTTTTAGTTTGGCTTCCTCAAACGGGAGCTGTAAAATATATATAAAATTTTGTTACTTAAGATTTTAAACATCTAATAACTTTGAATTTTAAATCTAACTAACAGACAGAGCCGGAATAACCACAGGGGGCAGTAGGGCCATGGCTTAACATTAACATTAACTTATCACCTGCATTAGGTACTTTGCGCCATACCGTATTTTTATTTTTTGTTTTTCACGTAACTTCCACCCTGCACTGGGCTACGGCTAAGCACCGGCTATGGCTGTGATGTGCGCGTGCACCGCCAACGCGATGATGACCTAAAATATGATTCAGTTAAATAATGTCATATTACGAGTTGTGTTGTTACTGGTGACGAAGTTGTAGCTACGAAATATATGGACAGTTTATCAGTAGTGACAAAGTGCATAGTAGCATAGTTCTTTTGGTAATTTGTTACCACTAGAATCATGAGTTCACGTAAATTAAGTGGAGCTCAACGAAGGAAACTTCTTAGGAAGGAGGAAGAGAGATCTAAAGAATTGTTGAAAACAGTTCCAAAACTAGACAATTATTTTAAAATTGCACCCAAAACTAGTGACGAATGTAATACAGCCACATATGGAAGACGAAGAATGTGACCATTATAATGTAATAGCATCTTCATCTACATCAGAAACAGACGTGGTCGGAAAATTCAGATAAAAATGCGATTGTCGCTGCCATAAACAATGTGGTTACTGTTGATGGTAAGTACAAAGGTACATTTAATAATAATATTTTATAACTAAGTAATTTTTTTTGTTAGAATTGACGAAACTTGTTCCTTCTAATTACCACTTACAAGACCCAAGTATGTGGGTGTAATTAATACTGAATTGGTAGAGTATATAGTAAAGAATCCTTTCGCTCAAAATTTGGAACAGATAGATTTTGAACAGTCAAAAAGACTGTATCCCAGTGAAAATCGCAGTCGATCGCATCAAAGAACATGTTTTTCGGGAAATTAGTAAATGGCGAGAATATCCGCAGGGAATGGCTTTTATACTCTATGTACTGTTTGCAGTGTAAATTATTCGGATCATACCTTTCACAATTCGTCAATGGATTTAATGATTAGAAGCATCTAGAAAGAATAGGGGAACACGAGAAATCGATAGGGTATCAAGAAAATACAAAAACGTATACATTACGTTCCACAGTACTCGGAAAAATAGATAGCAACATCGAAAAACAATACTTAATAGAAAAAGAGTATTAGAGAAACCTTCTGAAAAGGATAATAACAACTATAAATTTTTTTTCTAAACAAGGATTAGAATTTCGGGAAACCATAGAAAGATCAGGTAAATAGCAATATTAAAATTATTTGGCTACACTTGAAATAATAGCCAAATTTAATCCATTCCTAAAAACTCATTTCAAAAAACAGGCAAATAAGGGAAAAGGACATGCCTCCTACCTGTCAAAAACTGTTTGTAATGAATTTATAGAATTGTTAGCTAAATCCACCAGAAAAAAATAATAGAAGAAATAAAAAGTGCCAAGTACTACTCAATAAGCGTAGATTCAACATCTGATATTTCGCATACAGACCAGTTAACTTTTATTTTGCGGTATGTGCAACAAATTGGATCGGTGGTTGAACGTTTCATAAAATGTATTAGCAAGCTTGGGCATAAAGTTGAAGATATGAAAGTAGCAATTTTGAAAACACTTGATAAATTCACTCTACCTCTCGAGGACTGCGTCATACGACATTGCGTCAAATATGTCCGGCGAATATTCGGGCCTACAAGCTCGCATAAAAAAACACAATGCTCTATATATACCATGTGCAGCTCATTCTTTAAATCTGATAGGTTCTTGTGCTGCGGAAAGTTGTTTACAGGCAACAGAGTTTTTCATTTTCCTAAATGAACTCTATGTTTTCTTTTTATCTTCCACTTCTAGATGGGATATTTTGAAACAAACTTTAAGTGAGGCTTAGAAAGGAGACGGAGAAGCAAGAAATAATTTGCTCCCAAAAAAATTAAATGCAACTCGATGGTCTGCAGAAGCAGACGCAACTAGAGCGCTCTATAGCTGTTATGATAGCTACCAAAATGCCCTTCAAAACTTAAAAGATGATCCAAATCAACCTCCAGTATAAACAGAATAATTTAAAATAGAATAATTTTATTAACTATTTTACATAAGTCATTATGTTTATAGCAAGTCATAGGTGGTAACAGAATTTGAACAATATATATAAAACGAATAAAACAATAATTATTAGAGTACCAGAAGTTGAACAATGTAAATAAAAACTAATTATTAGGTACTTATCAAGGTTAAAATTGTGATGAGGCAGAGTGACAGTGAGATGTCTCATACAGACCGAAAATGAGCTACATAATCATTGACAGAGTAAAAACAATGTCTCAATAGATATTTTTTTAATGTTTTTTTTTTAAAGCATTATTACTTAAATTTTTAAAGTTCTGCGGTAATATGTTAAATAAGTTATAACTTAGAGAATTTATTTCAGATAGACATAACCTAAAACGAGTATTTCTAATACAATGTGAATTACGTGTTTTGTAATTATGAATATCGGACTGTTTCAGCAAAACATACTGTTTCCTATGAATTTCAACAAGTGTATGATGTAGATATAAAGTAGGTAGTGGCATAATTTTAAATTTAATAAAATGTTGTTGACAATTTACTCTGAATCCAATGTTGTATCCGGAAGATTTGAATAGATTGAAGAAGAGTTTCCCCAAAGTGGTACACCATAGCTGACATGCGAGTCAAAGAGAGATAAATACGTAGTTTTGAGGGTATTTAAGTTGGTAAGTTTTTTTAACTGCCGAAGAATAAATAAAGAACTAGAAAGTTTTTTCTTTAACTGATTAATGTGGGCCGACCAATTGAGTTTGTTATCCAATGTAATACCAAGTAATTTTACGTTTTTTGTTTCACATTTTGAAATAATTTGATTATTGGCAGATATCTGCATGTTTTGAGTTTTTTCACTGTTAAGTTTTAATTTATTGGTTGAGAACCAAGTGTTTGCTTTGTCCGCAATTTCATCAAACGAAGAAATTAAATTTTTATTATTTTTGTCTGTTAAGATGAGTGTTGTATCATCAGCAAATACTGATTTATTAGGTAGCATGAAACGGCTTAGATCGTTAACATAAATAATAAATAAAAGGGGGCCCAGGACAGAACCTTGTGGAACCCCTTGCCTTACAGTCTGAAAGTCAGAACACCATTACTCATTACAGCTTGTTGTCTGTTACTGATATATGAATTTATTAGTGCAAGCGGAATTCCCCTAACTCCGTAAAAGCTTAGCTTCTCCAGAAGATTATCATGAGAGACGCAGTCGAAAGCCTTTGACAGATCGCACAACATTACTGCTGTGTGATTTCCCTGCTCAAGTTCCTTAACTACATCATTCACAACATTGAGAACAGCCTGTGTAGTAGAGCGAGAGCGTCTAAAACCATATTGGGAGTTGCTGAAGAAGTTGTTTAATTCAAAATACTCACATAATTGTTTTTTAATAATTTTTTCAATAACTTTACCAAATATTGAAACAATACTTATGGGACGATATTTATCAATTTTCGAGACATCACCTTTTTTGAAAATTGGTAATACTTTAGAGTATTTAAGTACTTCAGGAAATATACCAGTGGATAAAATTAAATTAATCAGTTCAGTAAACGGTTTTATTACAATATTGCAAGTCTCTTTTAAAATGTTACTATTGAGTTTATGAGTGTCAACACATTTAGAATTTTTTAGAGAAGTAATTGCGTCAAAAACTTCAGACTTAAGAACAGGGCGGAAGAAAAATGAGCTACAGGGCATAGGAAAATATTTAAAACTCAGAAGTTCAGCATTCGAAACATTAGGAAGAGATCTTATGATATTTGCAGCAGTTGTAATAAAAAATGTATTTATTTCATTTGGTGTTACCTAAATCAGGAGTTCCTAGATTTATTTTTAGATTGCTCCTTTCGAAATTAATTATTTGCCAACATGCCTTGGCTTTATTGTCTGCTCGAGTAATATATTCATCATAGGCCAGTTTTTTTGTTGATTTCAATTTTTCATTGTACTTGCTTTTGAGTTTCTTGTTTGTTTTTATGTCATTTGGATCTTTTGTAACGTCTTTTATTAGTTTAATAGTTGAGAGATCGTTTCTTAGAGATTTTAGACTGTTTTTAAACCATATTACTGGTGAATTTCTTAAATTATTCTTACATTGTCTCAAGGGAAATTATTTCATACTTAAGTTATGGTAAGTATTGATAAGAAAAGTTAACAAAAAAATTACATCATTACCTTTATTACAAAAAAATAGTCCAACATCTTTATTCTATTATCTGTAATACACCTTTTAAGACATGTTTGATTTTTATTTTTTGTTAGACTATTATTGTAACTAACAGAAATGTAGTGGGCACGGTGGTCTGAAAAGAAGGGTTCAAATACACCGGAAGTAAACAATTCGTTTACCAAATTTGTAATTAGGTTGTCTTTACAATTTGAAGATGAAGCTGTTACTCTAGTATCATCATGTATTGGAAGAGATAAACCAAAAGACTTCAACAAACATTCAAAATTGAAAGGAATTTCAGATTGTGATTTAAAATTAATATTAAAATCGCCTAATATAATTAATTTGTCATACTTTTCCAGTAATTTGTGTAATACAAGTTCAAAATTCACAAGAAAAATATCAGTAGTTCCTTTGGCAGACCAATAGACAGTTAAAATTGTGGTTTTTAAAGATGGCAGATCTACAGCAGAGAATTTTGTATTTTATTCACTAATATATTCGCTTAGGTCAATTGGAAAATATTTCAAAAAAATCTTTATTATCTTTTATGTAAATTGCTACACCCCATGTATCATATTTGTTCTACAAAAATAGTTTGCCAAATTGTAACCGTCAATATTAATGTATTTAAAACATGTTTCACTCTGCCAATGTTCAGAAAAGCAGACAACGTCAAAATTGTGATCCACAAGAAAACTGTTAATCATTTCTGCCTTATTAGAGATGGATTGTAAGTTTATATGAAACATACTCACCGTACTCTGCTAATTTACATTTTTTAAAATACTAAAATCTTTTGAAATATTGGAATCGTATTTCATATTTAATTCTCTTCTTCTGTTATTTGAAGAGGCTGAAAATTTTTTCTGAAGTTAAATCTTCTTACAGCAGCTTCCTTGGGCCATATAGTTGGGTTATAAACATCATCAATTTTGTCCAAAGGGAATGTTACCCTGTAGGTGGAAGAATGTTCATTTCTTCTCCACTCTACACAGGTGAAAGATATTTTAGGCGCTGTCTTTTTTAGTAAGTTAAGAATATCGTCGCAAGTCATGTCGGCTCCTATGCGAGAGACATGTACGTGTCCTTGTCGTGGTATGGTATTAAAATTTGCCGCTTCATTGCAACCTATGATCGGTTTATTTTTATATGGCACGTTTTTATAAAACGGGAGATTCGGACTGGAGTTCCCATTTTTTGTATTGTTGATATTGTGGCTAGTTTTTAGTCTCTCATTATCATGATTTGGATTTGCTCTTATCGCTTGGTTGAAGGTGTTAAAAGGATTCATAGCAGGTTTTTTGTGATCTCGACTGCTAGTGGAATTATTATTAATATGAGGTTCAAGCTACTGGTTTGCGGCCTGCAATGAACAAACTGGAAACTGGAATTCTTTTAGAAGTGTGGAATAAGTTGCTACCGTAATTTTTGTGAGCAAAACATTACAAAAACAGTGCACAGGCGTTTCCTTAGTGACAAAACTCTACGATTAACTGATACTGTATGTAAGCAGATTGCGAACAGACGAAACATTTGAAGAAATCGAACAAAATGCTAAAGATTTAACAAAATGTAATACATACAAACTTGAAGTGAACAGAATCCGAATAAGAAAGAATGCTTTCGATGAGAGTAAAGAAGTTGAAACAAATTTTGATGGGAAACAAAATATGAAAATTAACACATTTTACGTTATATTAGATAATTTGTCATCAAAACTAATTCGAAGAAAAATAGCCTATGATAGGTTCTCAAACACGTTTGGATTTATGGGATCGTTATGTGATCTTTCGGACAATAAAATTTCAATAGAGGCCGCAAATTTATCAGTCTGAACTTGATAGAGATTTTGCAGGAGAATGTATTCAATTTAAATACTTTCTAAAACCTTTAAAGAAAGAACACAAAAAAGATAACTACAATATGGCTAAGATACTACAAGTTCTGAGAAGACTTAAAATAGTTTCAACATATGCAAATATTGACACTGCTTTAAAATTTTTTGACATTACCAGAACTAATGTTATCGAAGAGAGGTCGTTTTCAACAATACGTAGAGTCATGAACTATATGATGGTGGGTGAGGTTTTCCGGGTTTTCCTCACCTGTAAGTCAAATGGCACCATCAATCATCCTTAAGTCGTCCCGGAGCGCCACGGCAAATAATAATAATAGCCGTCCCTTCCCCTACACAAGTCGTTCAGTCGACTTCAGGGGTTGAAATTCACTCGTAAGGGGGTGAATTAGGGAGAGTATTATTATTATTATTAATATTATTATTATTTAAGAAATAGTTTATCTGATTCGAAGACCAGCAATTTAGCTTTATTGTGCATTGAGAGTAAAGTTGTTGACTCTCTAGATGAAGACGATATTATATCGCTTTTTATTTTAAGCAAATTAAGAAAGACACTTTAATAAAAAGGAAATGGGATTCGAAGTTTTTGTTTTATTAATTTTTTATCTTGAAATGTTAGTAATGTTATTTTTTGTTATGTTAATATTCTTTCAAAATAAATGAACTGAATAATTGTTTTGGTCATGTTTATACCTTAATAATAGATTGAGAAATTAATTGTTGGAAAGGGGCGCTTTAAAAGTTTTGGCCCGGAGCGCCGCTGGTGCTTAATCCGGCCCTTCAATAATTGGACTATAATTTGGGTTTCTTGTAAAAGTTATGCAAATGCTAAGATATGTGTTTTTAAAAAATAGCTTACAGTTTTGGTGTAAACATGTAGATTTAAACAATCTTCGGTCCCTTCAAGAGCCTGTGTTATCGAATTTCGTTGAACGCAAATGTTCCCTTCCTTACTTGCATCTTTTATTCCTGTCCATGGTTCAGCTGGTTTGGGTGCCTAGGATTCAAGAAAACTTATTTAAATTTTATTATGTAAACATAGTTAAATATTTAAAGAAGAATAATGGATATGTATGATAATTTTTAAAAACTAACTCAAAGACACCAATTGTTCAACTTCTCAATTTATCAGGTTCACCTCAGTGTTTCGATACATATAATTCATCAATGCCTAACGCTGGCTGTAAGTACTTGTAAACACTGGAAAGACGGTAGATAAAAGTCCAACACTTGCGAATAATTAATATAATAATAAATCATTGGTTAACTACAGTAGATGGGTATATTGTGAAATTTTTTTATTTTTACATAATATATATCACTGTAGGTAATTGGACAGACTAGTTCAGTAGTGAATGAGAGTTCACTCCTGTTCTTCTACTAGCGCCAATAGTTAATCAAATGAAAAAATATATATATAAAAAAGTAGCCAAAAGAAGGAAGGAAAGGGAGGGAAAAGGGAAGAGGAATAATATTATCGAAAGAGAAATTATTAAGAATCATTGAGACCTTAACAAAATCTCCTTGTAGGATCTCTTAAATGATCCTAGATATTTTTGAAGAAGTTTTGGGTCCATTTTAAATATTTTGTTAATACTGAAAACGGCGGCGTACGAGAAGGATCTCCTAAATATTGCTCTATTATGTGTAGGAATCCACAAGATAGCCTTTTTCTAATATTTAGATTACAGATATCCGTTCTGTATGCAAATTTACTATGTAGATAAAGAGGCGTATGAGTATTATATAACATGTAGTAAACATGCCATATACAATATTCTTCGGTTATACATTGTAAGCCATTTCTATTCTTTAAATTTATGAGAAATATCTTGATACTTGCGTATCCCAAAGATTAAACGAATATACATTAATTTTAAAGTTTTTGAATTCTTCGAGAGTCAATACTATCTAAACATGGCCCGTAAACTACATCACAGTGATTACAGTGGGATAGTTACAATGCGTCGCACAGCATAAAAATTGTCTTTGAGAGTAAATCATTTTTAGGTTACTATAAGCATATTTTAATTTAGCCGTATTTTGTATCTACAAGACCTAGGTTTTTACATTGAGGTGTAATAGGTATTTCAGCACCCCCTATTATTAGTTGCGCGATGTCCATAATATTTTCATTGCCAAATATTAGAGCGGATGATTTATTAGGATTAATTTTCAAACAATGATCTTCTGAAATACTAAGGATCTTTTCTTAATCTGAATTTATATGTTGAATAACTTCTACTTTGTCCGTATATTGAAATGAAAAATGTAACTGTGTATCGTCAGCGTAAATATGGTAATGACAATACTCTAATGCAAGGGACCGTGCGGAACACCAGATAAAATTTCCAATGGAGCAGATTTTTTATCATCGACTTGTATAAATTGCTTTCGCTTGTACAAGTAAGATGGTAATAACTTATGAGATGTTTCACTAAATCGAAAAAATTTTAGCATTGATAATAAAATAGTATGATTAATTATGTCAAATGTTTTAGAGTAGTCTAGAACAATTAATAATAATAAATAATATAATAAAAGTTTATTCAAAATATTAATATAATACAATAAGTATAATAGATATAAGACAAAATGACAAATATATAACAAACTATTATTACGAGTTTCATCAATTCAATGTTTATTAAATAAATAGAGAATAAACATTATTAAGTCACTGAAGTATTAACAATTAGATTGTAATACTTGTGCGTGACTATTTAATTTTAATTAAGATATTAACATTAAAAATTTCAAATTAGGCTAAATTGTTTTATCAGAACTAAACTATATTTGAGTAATTATTTTTATTTTAAATATTTTAGATTTATAAGATCATTTAAGGTATCTCTAGTAGTTAGTTGTATCCAATTTTTAATTTCTATCTTGTACCTTGATAATTTGGTAATGTTTTTGATTTCATTAGGAACTAAATTATATAGTCTAGAACAAAAGTAAGTTTCTTTGACCTATTGTTTTTGACGACGTGTTTGTAGTGACATGATATGCTCGTGTTCGGTAAGGGTGAGTTCTTTTATTTAATTTACTTTTTTTTGTAAATATGCTGACTAATATTTTGAAGCATTTTAGCTGACGAATATCCAAAAGTTTACTCTCCTTGAAAAGTAAGTTACTTGAGTACGTCCTTTTTCTGGAACAAATAATTTTTATGAACCATTTTTGGATTGAATTTAGATTTTGGACGTTAGACTCTGCGACTTACAGTCCCCAGAATTCCATATGTCAGGTGAGTTTGAAACCCCTGAGTTTAGTAATAATAATTTTTATTTGCAGATCCCATTGTAGATGCCTGTCTATTGTAACGCCTAGATATTTAATGGAAAAAGCTTCGGGGATTTGGATGTCATCAATATTTAGCGATCCAAGATTAGGTAGGTTGGAGGCATATGAGGTAAAGGGTAAGTAATGTGATTTTTTGTGGATTAAGCGTTAATTTGTTAAGTTCAAACCATGACTTAATTTTTTCAAATCCATTTCAGCTTTATTTTTTAATTCTGCCCATATGTCTGCCTGATACATAATAGCGGTGTCATCATCAAAGCTCATAATATTTTCCTGGGTTTTTGGAGACATTAAACTATTTATGTAGAGTGTGAATAGCACTGGCCTAATAACAGTTCCCTGTAGCACTCCAAACGAAACCGTTCTCGGGCCACTACTCTTTCCATCAATACTTACATATTGCACTCTGTTAGTCATTTAACTTTCCAACAAATTATATGCAATTCCCACAATGCCATATTGCTCCAGTTTTTCTAACAATTTTTAAGGCACACTGTGTCAAAGGCTTTTGAGAGGTCAAGAAATACGCAAATACGCAAAGAGTTGGCGTTTTGAAGTCAATTGCTTTATAAAATATAGATGTAAGTGGATTTTCCCTTCCTAAAACCATATTGATGTGGTGATAACACTTCATGCCTATTGAGGAACTTTAGTAGTCTCAATTTAATATTTTTTTCATAAATTTTGGAAAACACAAAGAGTAAAGAGACAGGTCTATAATTTTATATTTTGCTTTTGTCTCCATTTTTAAAAAGAGGTTTTATTATACCTATTTTTAAACAGTTTGGATATTCCTGTTCCCAAAAACTTTGATAAATGAGATGGGTAATTATTATCTTAGAATCACCAGCAATATAAGTCTCATAATTATAGTTTAGTTTTGATTTTATGTATACAACTAGTCCATTATTTCTATTTAGGTCACTTTCATTGTAAAGTAAGTCATATCCTTTTAAACAAAAGATGAGGGATGGATTAGACAATTGAAAAGTTTCGGATAAAACTATTACATCATATTTATAGTTAAACTGCCATTGAAATATATATAATTCATCAAAATGCTTTGACAAGCTTCTTATGTTAAAATGAATGATTTAGAATGAGTCATTAAAAATTGTTATCAAAATATTCACACTTTTTAATTTTTATTATGATCAATGTAAGTTGCCATTATAGCATCATTTTGGCATTCTCTAATATAATGATCCATACTGTTTTGCGAGATTGTGGAAAAAACTTTTTTTTGGAATTTAAAAATTTACAATAGACTATTACCTATTAAACTAATCTTTCTATTAATCAAAGCAAAGGAACAATTTTTTTAATTTGTTAAAGTAACTGAGTTTTTCTTGCTCGGGCAATTTTTATTTCTTGAGTTATTTTATTCTTGGCAGCTTCCTGTTTCAGTTGTTTGGTGGTATTTAAATTTTGAGGTATTGCGCTATCTTGAGTATGCTCTCCTGCTATGCTTGTGATGGGGACTAAAGGTCCGGCTATGGATGGTGATGATGGTTCGCTTGCAGCTTTTGTTACGCTTCTGACTTCGGATTGGATCAAATCTTCAATACTAAATGGTTTATAGTCGATCATGAGTTTATTTCCCTTAATGTAACAGTGTTTATTGTTTTGTCTCTCTATGGATAAGTGTTTTCTTAGTATTTAATTTTCTTCGCGTTGTTTGAAAGTTAAGTCATGTGCAATAGATACACTGGTTCACTTAGGTTTTTTTGCTGTTTTTTTTTGATTTCTTGTTTTTTCATATAAGAAAACAATTCAATTTTTACTGAACTATTATTACTTTAGCCAAGTGTATAAAAATTGTTAATTTCTGATTGTTGTAAATTCGCTCTTATTGGATTTTTTATTTCTTGACATAAAATCTCACAGGTTAACTCCGGGCAAGTTTTGTTCCAGCCAAAAATTATTATATTATTTGATTTTCCCTTTCTTTCTAATTCTTCAATTCGTTCTTTTAAAATACTATTTTCATCTTCCAATTCCTTAATTCTAACTTTTGAGTACTGATGTTCTGTTATTGTCCAAAGCCTTTAAAATATCATCATCTATAAGATCGGAAAGTGCAGTAGCACAGCTATAACAATATCTAAAAACTGTTTAGACGGTAAAATTTTATTAGTATTTAAAAAATGTGTTATCTGTTTTGTAATAATAATTTCAAAAATTTTAGAAAAACAGACAGAACACTAACAGATCTCAGATCATTGAAGTTCTTAGGACAACTAACTTTGGATAGTGGTATAACCTTAGGAAACTTCCAAGCCTGTGAAAAATAGTCATTACAAATACATTCATTTATGATGTGAGTGACTATAGGCACGATTGTGGAACCGCAGAGATGAACAATATGTATATTTATATTATCAGTTCCATTAGCCCGAGTCTTAATATTATGAATAATAATCTTTATCAAACAAATTAAAGTTAAATTCGTAGTCAATGTTATCATTTACATTATTTAAATAAAAATTTGCTGTTTCATCATTGACAGGAGGTGACTGAGCAATATTAATGAAAAAGTTATTAATCTCGTCAACTGATTTTAACTCTGTAGGAATTTCAATATTTTTTCTGTTCGATAATATTTAGTTTTTTTAGTTCTGACCATTTTTCTTCTGTATTACAATTACGGAATTTAAACTCAAGATAGGCTTTTTTTCTGCATTAATAGCA